AACGACACTACCAAACACATCTACGTTGTGAGTGATACCAGCTGCTTCTAACTTCACCATTTTTTATTTGCTTTTACAACATTTCCCTACCCAAAAAGCCCATGCCTTTAAACTTGCTATTTTTCCTTGGATCCTTTGGAGTCATTCTAGTTCGAAACAAAGATGAAAGTTAACTCTGCCCCAAATCAGTAACAAAAGAAATCTCAATTGCTTCACACGCAATTTCTAGAAGTTGCAATCATGCCCTTTGGGCTGTGCGCTCTACTCTCACTCACTGCCCAGGCACATCCTTCACCTCCCCTTCACTTAGGGTTCACCTTGGGCAATCTCTATACACCAAAAATGACCATTCCCCAAGTGGAAAAATCCACTTCCTTTCTTGCAGAGTCTCTCTTTTAGAGCACAAATTGGTAAACCCTCTCCTCTGAGAATATTTTCCTAATTAGCCCGAAAAGCTTCATCCTCCCTAATTTCCTGATTATCTGCATGTATTCAGTCAAGTATTAATTGTTCTTGAAAAGATTACCCATGGTGCTCAATTTGTAGGCAGAGCCCCTACACCTGTTCAGCTCCTATCGAGCTAACCCCAAGCCACAGCCACCGCACAGGGCTGACGAGGCTGAACTCCCCTGCACTTCCTGGCCTTCCCCAACCCCCTCCAGCCCTTGGATGGGCCTTGTGGCCCTCTCTCATCTCCTCCAAGCTGCAGGCTCTCACCTCTCACTCAGCAGAATTCTACCACAGGTTCGAGCCAGCAAGGCTGACTGTTCAGTGTCCTTGGGGACCTGAACAAGGGTTTCACTGGCCCAGGGTACAACAAGCAAGGGGACTGTTGCCATCAACCCCACAGCTGGCAGTCTGGGAGGGCTGCAGTGTTCCTTACAGATGTGAATTCACAGCCTCACAAACCGAGAGCCAGAAGGGGCTCTAGGAAGGCCAGCACTTCACAGAAGAGGAGATTGGCCCAGACAGATCAATTCAATCAGTCTGTAGACATTTGTTGTTGGCCTCCAACATGGCAGGGACTGTGCTAAGCTGGAAAGGCAGAAGCGATTTGCCCTGAGTCACACAATTGACTGGTGCTGGGATTCCAACCTGGGCCCTCCGCCTCCAGACCAGGCGCACTCAGGACAATGGAGGTGCTCCCAGCTCTTTAACCCCAATCCTGTCCTTCTCCTCCTCAGGACACAAATGCAGGGACGCAACAGTCTAGACGGAATCTACGTGTAAAGGACCCCAAGAAATGGCAAGAGCCAAGGCAGCGTGAGCTTGCGGCACCAGAGCATCGAGGAGGACCAGAAAAGGGGGCGGTCACTTAGCAGCAGGAGACCAGCAGTTGACAGGAGAGCCAAGCATGGGGTGGGCATCAATGACATGATAAAAGAGCTTCCAGGGCGCTGGACCTGGCCCCAGCCCCTTCTGGCCTCCATCTACAGCCAAACGGCTCTGCCTCTTCTCAGACCTCGGGATGTCATCTCCAGCCTCCACGCCTTTGGGAAGGCGGTCCTCCAGACCTGCCATATGCTCCCCCTCCCTCCTCAACATCTGTCACAATCCTCTTCCTCCTTCTGGGCTCAGCTCAAGAGCCAACCTCCCCTTCCTCCTTCAGGTTTTCCCTCATCCCCCAACTCGAAGCATTCTTCCACCCACACACGTTTGTTTCCTGCACACTCAGACCATCTCCTCTGCCTCAATGACACTAATGAATTTTATTTGGTCACGTGAGCCCCAAAGGGGAAGGGTGTGTGCCACACTTCAGTTCTATATCCCCAGCACCTACAGTAGTAGAGGCAAGAACGCTTATCGAATCTAATCAAATTTAGGGAAAGAAGGGCCATAATTGCGCAGATTGAGCAGGCCTCCACGGGCTGCACTCTGCACTGTCGGAAGCCAGACCGATGAGAACCCTGATGTCCCTGAGGATTAATGCCCATGGGGGTAGTGGCACCACTGGAGGGGAGCGATGGAGAAGAGATGACCGCCATGGAGGCAAGTTAGAGCATGCTGAGTGTGCTTCTTTGGCTAATAAACGATTTGCAGAGTTCTTTTCTATGGCCAGCTCCCACAGGGCACAGAACACGTGACTCACTCGGCATACATTTCTAGTCCTCTAACATACAGATGCAGCAAATGTGCTTGCTCTGTCATTTCTGCTTCTATAGCAGAATGTCACTCATTTTGGAGGCCCCCCCCCTAACAACCTCTTTCCCAAACAGTGAGTGGATTCTAACTCAGGTCCTTCTGTCTTCAGGACCAGCACTCTACTGATTTCAGCACCCAACTGCCTGTTAAATTTAAGACTTTCAAAGACAAATCACAATTTCTGCAAGCAACCAGGAGAAATACAAAGAAGGAGATTCAAGTCACACGACTATTCTGCACCCACCAAAAACTGCGGGAAGGAGTGGAATCACGTGCTAAAGAACAAAGGAGCTCCAGCTGCAAACCAAGGTGGCAGACACGCCCAGGGGAGCCTTCTAACCTGCCCCCCCAAACACAAGAAACAAAAATGACATGAGTTTTACAAATGCCCCGGCCAAAAGAAAAAGAACTGCAACCAAAGAGAGTAGGATGGGAGAAATCATCATCCCACCACGAAGGGGGGAAGCTAGCAAGACAGAGACACACCTAAGTAGCACTAAAGGAGAGAAAGGCGAAAGCAGAGTGTAAGCGACAGACCCAGCGGTGCAGAAGAGAGCTGAGACACCTGAGGCTGACCCTCCCAACACCCAAGAGCTTCTTGTTTAGTTCTGGGGGACAACACCATACAATGAGAGAGGACACAAAAGGGGAGAGGGGAGGAAGATAAACGGGAATGTGTGACTGCACACGTGTCAAGTCAATGGTAAACAATGAAGGAAAAATAACTCTGCTAACACCTCAAGAAAAAGACAGCCTCCAGGAGAATAGATGAGGTGACAAAGGTAGGGGGGAGTGGGGGCGGAGGTTAAAATGGGGGGAAGTAGGTGAGGGGAAAATCTCAATTCCATGATGGAAAGGGAGCCTGCTGAAGGACACTCCTACAGGCCAGAGAGATGTTATGGGAGGAGAAATGGAGGGATTTAGTGCTTAGAGAGACCACCCTGAGAAAGTGTGGTGCCTCAGCAGACAGCATTCTGCCTAAAAACAAACAAACCGAGAACTCCTAACGGCAACTGACATCCACAAGGACGGGAGGCATACATTCAGAGAGATTTCATGGCAAATGGGCAAAGAAAATATCATGACAGCAGGGGACAGTACTTCACTACACAATCAGATCTACCACGGGGCAATACTTCTGTCCTCTCTATCTCCTATAGCAATTGATACTCCTAAGAGTGAGGCACAAGTTAAAAAAAGAAAAGGGAGAGGGGACAAGATGTACAAGGTAATAACAAAGAAATTGTTCATAAGGGGTAACTCAAAGTATGAGAGAAGCTTTAATTCCAAGAGGAACAGAGATTAAAGAAGAAATAAATATAAGGAGTATGAATCAAAGAATAAAAGTCCAGAAGAGAAAGGGAAGAGAACAAGGGAAGTCTTTTTAGGAAAAGCTGCTGAAAATGAAAAAAAAAAAAAACTAAAAAGCAAAAGGGGTTGAAGGGGCCAACACCAGGATTATACTTAACTGAGATGGAAAAAAGAGGGAAAGAATTAGGTAACTAGATAAAAGAAAAAGCTGGATGTGAAATAAGGGAATCTGGGTTCAAATCCATGCTCTGCTCCACACAACCAGCCTGACCTAGAAAAAGTCACTCCTGCAGGGCCCAGTTTGTTCGTCTATCAAAAGGAGCTGAACCGGCCCCTTCTGGCCCAATACCATCTCCTCCTGGAAGCCTTCCCCAATCCCCTCAGGCAGACACGAGCTTCCCTTCCTCAGATCCTGCACTGGCTTGGACTTCTCATGCATGTAACACAGCCCACATTATACCAGCAGTTACTCTATTAGGTTTTAAATTCAATGACAGACCTATTTCTAATAGGATACAAGCATACCCATCTTCAGAAAATGAAAGAAAACAAGCCAAAAAAGGGCACACAGGTACAAACATCACTGTTAGGATCCTTAAATACCTCATCCTTAACTTAATGCAAGATAAAATACAGGTAATAATGAACAAGACAGTGTATAAATCGAATAGCCTTACACAATTTTAATTTTAAAGTGTCTCCCCAGCTATATACTATCAGTGATCTGCACAAAGAAGGACCTTAATGTTTGCCAAACTGAACCAACATGTGCAAAGGTAAATATGGACCTAACCTTGACACAATTAATAAAATGCATAATTACGACTTTATTTTAAATTTTATTGGTCATTCGCATCCACCAGTGTTTAGTGAATTAGATTAACCATGTGTGGGTACTTCTGTACTAAACCTAACAGTTTAACTACATTAAGGACACATCAAAAAGGGTGTTTCTTTCATTATTCTACCCAGACCCAAAATAAATAAGCTTCAGAAAAGAGAATTAACATAGGCACAATCTATTTTATTAGTCAAGAAAAATCATTTTGATGTAACTTGCCAACAATGGACCACACGTCTACACTGTTGGATAACTTCAGTGATCATCTAGCCTGAAACAAAAATCCTGTCCTCCCCCTTTCACAGGAGTGATCACCCAGCCTCTCACCTCTGCTGAAGAAGACTCCTAACGGGCAGCCTCCCAGGGTAATCCACTCCACTCGGGGACAGTCTAAAAATTTGTGGTTTTACCTTATATTGAACTGACTCTGTTTCCTTGTAACTTCCACCCAGTGGTCCAAACTCTGACATCCAGTTAAGAACCAGCCCAGCTTCTCCTCCATATGACAATACCTCAAATACTTGAACACAGTGATCAGCTCCCCATTAAGACTTCTCTTGCCCAGGCTAAATTTGCCTGGATCTCTGAACCAAACCTCATAAGGCCTGGCTTATTATTCCCTCTTCATCCTGGTGAGCCCTTTGAATGGGCTGGGTTTTTTTTTTTAAATTCTTCATTTCCTTGATATGTTTTCTGGGCATCTTACCATGAGCTGTGTAATTTGTACAGTTAACAGGTTCCTGAGTGGCCTCATTTATTTCAGGATCTTTACAAAAATATGTTAGAAGAGTTAAGGAAAGCTTTGAATTGCATTTTAACACAAAGTATTGTCACATTAATAATAAACTTCTAATACAATACAAGCATACACATATGGAGAAAATGAAAAGAAAACAAACCAAAAAAAAAGAGCACACAGGCACAAACATCACTGTTAGGATCCCTAAATACCTAACTCTTAACTTAATGAAGATAAAATAAGGGTAATGATGAATGAGACAGTATATAAATCTAACAGCAAAAACCTGAGTTTCAGGATACAGAATATTAAATTTCTGAGTTTTTTCTTCTTTATTATTATTTTCTTCTTGATTCTTTTTGGGGGGGGCTGAGGGAGAAGAGGAAAACTTGGTCTGGCAGGACTCCTGGCTGTGAAAGGCATGACATCCAGGCCCACCGTCAGAAGTTTCTGAATCTCTCGGAGTTCATTCATCTCCTTTGGCAGCAATACCAGAGGCCTGCTAGGTCCTTTCCCCACATGGAAACAAAGACTCTCAACCTTTGCTATCCAGACTTCAGAAAGCACCCCTCCCTGCCTTCCGCCCTGTTTTCTGTAGCAGCTTCCCAAACAGACATCCCCTGGCCAGCTGGAAGGCCTGATTCCTCGCCTGGACAAATGACAGAATGGGACTCTCTCCAGTGGTGATCTGTGTATGCGCCTTGGCTCCCTACTAGAATACAAGACTCTTGAGTGCAACACCATTTCTTATTTATTCTTTCATCTCTCCATGTGTTACTCTGTAATCAAGTGCCAGATTACTTGCTGATGGGAGAGCCTAAATAAAATTCAACTTAAACAGAATTTGTACAGATCTAAGATGTGGAAAGACAGAGGTACAAACTTTGGTTAAGACAACCCCTGGGGAGTTCATAGCTGAGCAGGGGCAAAGGACGCATACACATGGAGAATCTCGTCCTTCACTCATCAAGGCCCTCCCTCCAAAGTCCCTCTCCACCACTCCTCAGACAACGGCCCGGTCCTCACATGACAGACCTAATAAACAGGGCAGTTCTCTAGCCAGGCCTTTTCCTTCGAAATCCCAGCATCGCCTCCGCACAGCAGCGAGGCTTAAAGGGAAAAGGGCACAGACAGACTCTAAGAATTCTGTCACTCGACAGCTCTGGCGGCATGAAGACACAAGCTTAAGGCACACGGATTTTGGCAGCGCGGGCTTTGGAAATGTTTGTGGAATTTAGCTGAATGAGAGGGAACACTGGAGGGAAGCTAAAGCGCTGAGAACTAGAAAGAGCAAAAGAGACACTGAACTACTGCAGGGCCACAGAATGGAGCTGAAAGGGGCCGTGGAGACACCGCAGCACAAACGTGGCGGAGGAAGAGAGCCTGGCCTGACGGCACATGGCGGGGAGGCCGTGAGCGGACCGGGTCTCGGTGGCCTGTGGGAACTGGAGCCTCCCGAAGGGTGCTGTGAGAACAGGTCACTCGTCCTCCACCACAGATGACCCCCCAGAAACAGAGGATTTAGCTGCAGAATCTCCAGGGTCCATTTCCACTCTAAAGCTGAGGCTGTTAGAAGCTCCCTCCCAGCTTGGACATTCTATGACCTAAGATTCTTCCCCACTCTAACTCTCTGTGTTCTAAGCTCCCTCCCAGCTCGGACATTCTGTGTTCTAAGGTCCCCCCTAGCTCAGACATTCTATATCCCAGGGTCCCTCCCAGCTCAGACGTTCTGTGTTCTAAAGTCTCTCCTAGCTCAGACATTCTGTGTTCTAAAGTCGATTCCAACTCTGACATTCTGCATCCTAAGATCGCTTCCAGCTCTGTTATTCTATGTCCTAAGGACGCTCCTAGCTCAGCCATTCTATGTCCTAAGGTCCCTCCCAGCTCAGATATTCTATATCCCAGGGTCACTCCCAGTTCTGACATTCTATGTCCTAAAGTCCTTCCCAGCTCAGACATTCTATGTCCTAAGGTCCCTCCCAGCCCCAACATCCTGTGTCCTAAGATCGCCCCTAAATGGGACATTCTAAGTCCAAAAGTCACTCCCAACTCTGACATCCTATGTCCTAAGGTCACTCCCAGCTGTAACATTCTATGTTCTAAGGTTGCTCCCAGCTGGGACATTCTACGTCCTAAGCTCCCCTCCAGCTCTGGCATCCTGAATCCCAAGGTCCCTGCCATCTCCGACATTCTTTGTCCCAAGACTGCTTCCAGCTCTGACATTCTGTGTCCAAAGGTGGCTCCCAGCTCGGACATCCTGTGTCCTAAGGTCGCTCCCAGCTCGGACATTCTGTGTGCTAAGGTCACTTCCAGCTCCGACATTCTATGCTCTAAGGTCACTTCCAGCTCGGACATTCTATGACCCAAGGTCACTTCCAGCTCGGACATTCTATGTCCCAAGGCCCCTCCCAGTTCTGACATTCTGTGTTCTAAAGACCTTCCCAGTTCGGACATTCTATGTCCTAAGGCTGATCCTAACTCAGACATTCTGTGTTCTAAGGTTGCTCCCAGCTCTGACATTCTATGCTCTAGGGTCCCTCCTAGCTCTGACATTCTATGTTCTAAGGCCCCTCCTCCCAGCTCCGACATTCTCTGTTCTAAAGTCCCTCCCAGCTCTGACAGTCTATGTCCTAAGGTTGTTCCCAGGTCTAACATTCTACGTTCTAAGGTCGCTCCAAGCTGTGCCGTTCTACGTCCCAGGGCTCCTCCCAATCCTGACACTCTATGCCCTAAGGCCCTCTGCAGCTCCGACACTCTGTGTTCTAAGACACCCTCCAGCTCTGACATTCTGTGTTCTAAGGTGCCTCCTAGCTCAGATATTCTGTGTTCTAAGGTTTCTTCCAGCTCTAATATCCTGTGTTCTAAGGTCTCTTCCAACTCTGACATTCTGTGTTCTAAGGTCCCTCCCAGCTCAGACATTCTGTGTCCCAAGGACCCCCCCCAGCTCAGACATTCTGTGTCTTAAGGTCCCTCCTAGCTCCGACATTCTGTGCTCTAAGGTCCCTTCCAGCTCTGACATTTTATGTTCCAAGGTCCCTTCGAGTTCTGACGTTCTGTGCCCTAAGGTGTCCCCCAGCTCTGACATGATGGTTTCCAGGGTCCCTCCCAGCTCCGACATTACTGTATGTCCTAAGGTCCCTCCCAGCTCCGACACCCTGTGTCCTAAGGTGCCTCTGAGCTCCGACATCCGGCATTCTAAGGTCCCTTCCACCTCTAAATTTCTATACTGTAAGGTGACTCCCAGCTCTGACATCCTGTATTCTAGGTTTCCGACCAACTCTGAAGTCCTGTGCAGTGCTAGCCTGTGTTCTAGGTTCCCTCCCAGCTGGGACACTCTATGTTTTAAGGTCCACCCCAGCTCTGACATTCGGTGTTCTAGGGTCCCTTCCAGCTCAGAAGTCCTGTGTCCCACAGTTCCTCCCAGCTCTGACATTCTATGTTCCAAGGTCCCTACTAACTCTGACATCCTATGTTCTAAGATCCCTTTCAACTCTGAAATCCTATGTTCTAAGGTGTCTCCCAGCTCTGACATTGTGCTCTGGATTCCCTAACGACTCTGAAGATCCGCGCGCTTTTATATTTTCTGGGTTCCCCCCCTAGCACTGATGTTATGTTCTATGTTCGGGGGGGGGGTCCCTTACGGCTGTGATCTAGATTCCCCTTCCCACCCTGACGTTCTAGGGTCCAGAAAGGTTCCACATTTTAGGGTCCCCCTCCTAGCTTTGGGGTGATGTTCTAGGCTCCCTCCCAGCACTAATGCGCTGTGTACTAGAAGCCCTGTCCCAGCATAAACGTTCTAGGTTTCCCACCAAAGCTCAATACTCTAGGTTTCCCTCCCGGTGTTTGACTCGCTGTGTTCTAGATTCCCCAAGGGGTGCGGATGCTACCCCTCCCACCACCCAAGCTCTATGTCTCCGGCTCCTCTTCCCCAGGGCGGGCAGGCCTAGGTTCTAAGCTCCCCCTCCCAGGGCTGGTGGGCCTAGGTTCTAGATCCTCTCCAACCCCGACGGGTGGCGCTAGGTGTGGCGGAGGTCCCCCCGCCCCACCGGTAGGCCTGGGCTCTAAGGCTCCCTCCCCCGGCGGGCCCAGGTTCTAAGCGCCGGGTGCTAAGGTTCTAGGTGCGGGCCCCTCCACCGCGCCCCCGCCTCTACAGAGGATATTGTCCCACTCTCAGGTCCTCGCACTTGTCCGTCTCGTCGCCCCCCGCGGCGGCGGCCTCTGCCCCCCACGGCCCCGCGCTCACGGTCACGGACACGAGCCACAGGACGCCCAGCAGCCCGGGGGCGGCGGCGGCCGCGGCCTCCGGGGCCGCCATGATGGAGCTGCCGCGTCACCCGTGACGCACTTCCGCTTCCGCTTCTCCTTCCGGCAGCGGGACCTCCGAGGGGCGGGGGAGCGCAGAGATCCTTAAAGGGACCTCGGCGGGAGGAAGAGGGGCGGGGCCGGGGCCGGCCGGGGGCGGGGCCATCTCCCCCTCCACCCCCGCCCTCCTAATCTTACTGAGAGGACAGGGAGGGAAGTGCGGGGAACGGCCCAACGTCATGTGGTTACTCAGTGGGAGAGACCGGGCAGGATTGGCACCCAGGTCCTCTCACTTCAGGGCCAGTGCTTTTTGCCCCCCTCGCGGCCGCCCCCTGGATGGCGATGGCGATGATTACAACAGTAACTGTTCGGGGCCATTCATCCCTTTGCTTCCCAACCTTTGTGGCCCAAGAGGCAAGGCATTCCCTGGCTGTAGGGAAACTGAGGCACACAGTCCGAGTTAGTGATGAAGAGGAAAGGCCCCCGGACTGACCTCAGCTCCAGCCCTGCCTCCCCAGCCTGACGCCCAAGAGCGAGGACTCACTGACCCACTTTGGTGCAGGACCCTTCACACCCGGAGTGCCTTCCAAGGATGACGTCACAAGCCCAAACTCAGCCCAACCCCCCCCCCCCAATGTGCAGGGCACTATTTAGGGTGCTGGAGATCAAAGACAGAAAAGCAAGTCCTGCCAGAGCTGGTTTTGTCTACCCTGTTCTTACAGATGAGAAGACTGAGGCCCAAAGGAGCCTGACGTCCCGGGTTACTAAGGGGACGCTTGAGCGCTAGGACTGCAAATCCCGATTCATTCCTTTGTCTGTCGCACCGTGATCCCTCTCCCAGCGAACTAATGGAAAAGCAAAACACAAAAGAGGTAGAGACATCACCGTGCAAGAGGTGTTGGTGCGCGGAGAGGAAACCCCGTTTGCCCTATGCTTGTGATGGCTTCAGGTGGCACAGCGGATAGAGCGCCAGGCCTGGAGTCAGGTAGACTCATGTTCCTGAGTCCAGATCCAGCTTTAGACACTTACTAGCTGAGTAACCTTGGACAAGTCATTTCACCCTGTTTGCCTCAGTTTCTGATCTATAAAGTGAGCCAGAGAAGGAAATGTTGAACCACTCCAGTATCTCTGCCGAGAAAACCACAAATGGGATCACGGAGCCTCGGACAGGACTGAAACAATAGGAAGGGATGGCTCAGTTTCAGGGAGCCGGTCTGTGTTCACTGAGTGGAAGCGTAAACGCTGCAGCACAAGGACCGTCTGGACCTCGAGAGCAGGCGTTTCTTACGCAGGCCAAGTTCTAATTACTGGAGAGACGGAGTTACCAGGTTAGTTCCTAGATGTTGAGAGAAATCTTGGGACGGTGGCTTTGTTTTAAAATTGCATTAAGCTCCTTTAGTCCCAAAATCTAGATCTAGAAGGCCCAGAGAACTGAAGTGACCCGCCATGGGAGCATAGGTCTAGAGCTGCAAGTGGCCTTAGAGGCCGTCAAGTTCACCCCACTCATTTTACAGGTGTGGAAACTGAGGACAAGTGAAGCAATTTGCCCAAGCCACGCAGACCCCAAAAGTTTGTAGTTCTTGTCCAAAAGATTCTGAAAACCCTGGTGTGTTCCTGCCTCTTAAATCTAATCAAAAATGGAAAAAGAAAAATTTCTTTTCAGAGGAGCGTACAAAGAAAATCGAAAGAAAGAAAGGAAATTTCCTTGACTCAATCATAATAAAAGCTATTATTAAACTTGCTGGTTTCCCAATTATTTTTCAAAAATAAGTGTTATGGGTGCCTTCTGTTTTTACATCATAATCATTCCCACTGCACCATGATAACTCCTTCATGTGTGTACTCCCTCTTCCTGGTACAGTCGCTAACCCCATCAGGCCTTCTGTTCAGTCCATATCCTTCCTACATGGGGGGACCATTCCTCCAGATGTCTTGACTTTGCACAGAGACCAATGAAGCATGCTTCTTATCCAACAGTTTTCCTTCAGTCTCACTACATGACCGCCATGATTCATTTTCACATGTGTCTCCCTAATGATCCCAGTCACAACACCTCTGTGAAACCCTGTGTAAGTAACACTTGCTGCTTCTTCACTTAATTAGACTGTGACTGGGAACCCTGTGAGGGCAGGGACGGGTTTTTGCCTTGCTTTGCATCCGCAGCGCTTAGTTCTACCTGGAACATAGTAGGTACTTAATAAATCCTAGTTGACTGACTCAAGCTATGTGCCTCTCCATTACCCTTTGGGTGATCTAAAGATGACTCATTCTTTGTCAACTGTGATATTGAATGACTTGCTGCCCTGTAACTTGAGGTCATTAAAAGCACAACTTAATTTCCCAAAGGCATCTAGTCCACTTTCCTTCTCTTGTACATCTCTGAGCCCAACACATTGTTTGTTGATCTACAAGCATCTGTTAAGTGTTTGCAAAATGTCAGGCACTATGCTAAGCACTAGGGGTACAAAGAAAGGTAAAAGACAATCCCTGCCTTCAAGAAGCTTACCCTCTAATGGGAGAGACAATATGCCCATGAAATTGTTTCACGTGAGCTACATACAGAGTGGATAGAAGCCTATCTTAGAAGGGGCTAGGAAAGGTCTACTGCAGAAAGTGGTGTTTGAGCAGATTCTTGAAGGAAGCCAGAGATTCTAAGAGGCACAGGTGAGGAAGGAGAGCGTTCTAGGCTTAGGAAATAAAGGTGCAGAGACAGGAGATGGACCATCCTCTGCAAGGAAGAGTAAATGGGCCAGTAAGGCTGGGTCACAGAGGGAAAGGTGGAAAGGGGCCAGGTTGTGAAGAGCTTCAAACAAAGGCAGTGTTCAATGTTTCATTCTAGAGGTACTAGGGAATCAGAGGGGGTTACTGAATGGGAGAGAGAGATGACTATGGTCAGACCTATGCTCTGAGAAAATCACTTTGACAGCTGAGCGGAGGAGGATGGATTGGCGGGGAGATAGAAGACCAATTAGGAGGCTATTTGCAGGGTTTGCCCATGGCATATGTACTGTTAGACCAACTCCCTGGGGTGTCCATCTGTGTGCCATAGTCTAGACAGTAATTGTTCACCCCCTTGGTTTTCCATCTGTTGATAGGTAGGCTGAAATCCTTTTAGGGACTAAGAAATGATGACTTGTATAGCATTCCTCTCCAGGCTACACTCTTGACTCTCAGGACTTGTTTGATCAAGCCTTCTCCCCCTGGAAATTCACTCCGCACCTCTGAACTTCTCCCATTGGGAGTACAGGCTAGCCCTGCAGTCCCTTCCTCTGATTGGCCAGTTCACAGGCCTAGATCAACTGTGTCTTCTTTCCTCTACAGGCTCTACTGCTGACTCTCTGGAGTGTCTTTCCCACAGCTCTGTATGGTACCTTCTCCCTCCCAAACCCCCTGCCTTTCAGCATCTGTTTCTATGTTCTCTTCCCCCATTAGAATGTAAGTTCCTCGAAGTCAGGGACTATCTTTCTACTTGCATTTTTATTCCCAGCACATAGCATAGTATCTGACTTGACTTGCTAGAAGACCACTTGATCCCTTCTTAAACTTACCAAGGATGCTCTCAATGTGTGCATAGATTATTCTGTTAAAGATTTTGTTGTGATGCCCAAATGGGCTACTTCCCCATGTGTAAGTAATTATCAATATTTTCTCAGTGACTTTTTTTTCAGACTAAGATACATGATTTTTCCCAAGCATAGCATATTTACCTCTTCCAGAGAGCTTAAAAATTGACTTCTCAGTGCCCTCAAAATTGTGTTGCTTCCAGCACAAACATCCCCTCCCTTTTCGTGTACTGGGACCTAGTTCAGGGGTTCTTCCCATCTTGATTTTACTTCTTACCATTTCTTCTTACTTGTGTGGAACGTCAAAGACCGATATTAAAGCCTGGCTATGGTGATTCATTCTCATTGATGGACAAAAGAGTTTCTGATAGGAACTTGACAAGTTAGAGCATTAGGCTGAATCTAATGAGATCACATTATTTTTAAAAATTCAATTTTATTTTTAATTCTGAATTTTCTCTCTCCCATATCCATTGAGAAGGAAAGAAAAATCAAAACTCATTACAAATATATATGTAGTCAAGCAAAACAAATTTCTGCAGTAACCATATCCAAAAAAAAAGAAGAGAAAAAGAAAATAAATTTTTAAAAAAAGAAGAGAAAAGAAAGGAAAATATATTTCCATCTATCCTCTCTATGTAGAAGTGGGTCGCATGTTTCATCATGAGTCCTTTGCAATTGTGATTGTTCACTGTATTATTCAAAGTTGCTAAGTTTTTCAAAGTTGTTTAATAAGATGGCCTTTAATAGTGTTAAATGCAAAGTCTTGCACAGGTTCAAAAAAAATCTAGTTTGGTATTGACTTTGATCTTTGTTCTAACAAATTGATACTTTGAATGTAAACAGACATCTAATTTGGAAATGTTTCCCATAGGGGCAGCTAGGTAATGTAGTGGGTGGAGCATTGGCCCCGACATTAGGAAGACCTGAGTTCAAATCCGGCTTCAAACACTTAGTAGCAGTGTGACCCTGGGCAAGCCACTTAACCCCATTTGCCTCAAAGGAAAAACATGCTCCCCATAGAAGTAACCCATCACTTCATATCTGTGAAAACAGACTCCATTTCATTTTTTGGGATATGTGATGCTCTCACTGTTCTGTGTCTCCCAATTGTCTCACTGAAATCTTTATTATATGGAGGCATGAGGCATATGGGTAGTCTACACAAAAGCTTTTGCCCTCATTTATTTCTTACTCCAAAACATGTTTTCCAACACATTCATTTCCTACCCCTATGCAGTCCTTGTGCTGAAGTCACCAAGAATGAAGTCAGTTACATGTCCCTCATTTGGAGGGTCTTCTTGAGGTCTTCATCAAATTTCCTCTTAATTCGCCCTCCATGATGGTTATTGTAACCAAAGTGGCAGTTATCTTCATAATTCTTTTCAAAATGAGCACTTCAGTGTGAGATGAGAAAGTGGCCTAAGAAATGATGTTTCTTGTTGCCTTGGGACAAAAAGACAAGCCAGCTAAGCCAACTCC